TGTTCCTAATAATACTTATTCACTGAAATAAAATATATAAATACTAGAGTTTGTGACAATGCATGTGTGTGGTTGTAACTCTTACACGCAAAAACGGCTGAAGGAATCGAGATGAAATTTGAAACAGGGGTAGATTATGGTCTACAATACCACATAGGCTACTTTTTATTCCACAACAACGCAAGCGATGCCGCTGGCAAATACTAGTACGTATATATAATATTCCGTATGTATCAAATGATAGGGAATCTGAAATTTAGCATGGTATATATATAGCATGCTAAATTCATAGATCACTGATGGCAGTGAACTGTAAAAAACAAGACATCGGTCAAATTGAGAAATTTCTCCTTTTTGGTATGTCAATTAAAAAACATGATGATTATAATGACTACCTCGTTAGCTGAGCTGTTACAAGTGCGACTGCCGGGCAAGGGGTCTCGAGTTTGATTCCCTGATCGGGCAAAGTACTACTGAGTTTTAAAATATTCTAATTGGTACCACGGAGTCTGGAATTGTGCCCGGTATAAGGCAATAGGCTCATCCCCTATTACATGGGACTCAACAATATTAGTAAAAAGTGGGCGTCTTATTATGTGCACTCTATCTACCCACTTCAGAGATTACAAGGCGTAATCTTATCAGGAGTATAATAAACATTTTTACGAAACACAAAGTTTTATTACAGACAGTACGTAAGTCATAAATCTCTGAAAATCATGAAAAGCCGAGCTAATTACACAGAGCCATTGGACATAGTATTTAAAAAACCAATAGCTGAAAAAGAAAATCAGAGTTGCATGGAGCGCTGAATTCAAAGGCGGCGGCAACATTAAAGAGAGGGTTTTACAAAGAGCCCCGCCACTAGCCGCCTCTTACACCGAACTGCAATTTAAATGTATCATTTTTCACATGTATTTAGTGTAGTTCTAGAATTGAATTGATTAGGTACACATTTCAACAAAACGTTTCTTATTGGTTTTTTAATATCGAAATTTCGTGTAGTGTTTTTCGATACGATTTCTGTTTGATTTGAGTGAAAGTCATTTATTTCAATTAGAGGATTTCTAAAGGAAGGCACTTTTG